AATTGGCTCAGTATTTGAACTCAGTTCTTAGAGAGCACTACATGTTTGTACTGCATTAGATAAGTTCAAATATTTCCTATATTCTATATTTCCTGCATTAAGATATTTCTATATTTATATATTTCTGATTTTCTATGTTTCTATATTGCTATATTGCTATATTTCTATACTTCTATACTTNAATTTTTATTTTAAATTATTGCACAATTATAACATTCCAAGATTTAAGACGTATTTTTTTTATATTTTTTTTAGCACAGGGGTGATTTATAAGGGTTGAAAAGTGTTATGAGATACAAATTCTAGCATAAGCAATGAAGAAATTTGTATTTCAAATAATTGCACCGTTAAAGCATTCCAAGCTTTTAAAAAGTAATTTTTTATCATTTTTCTCAATACACCCCTGTATGTTTTTAGGGGTTCAAAGGGAAAAATTATTTTATTAGCTATAAGGTAACTTTTATAAATAATTGCACGATTTAATCATTATCTTATTAAATCATCAATTAAATCATTATCTTTTAAAAGAAATTTTTTATCATTATTTTTTGCATATGGGTAGTTTTTAAGGGTTAAATAAAGGGTCGAAAAGATCAAATATATCATAAAACATGTTGGAGAACATGGAATATTATTTAATCTTTCTGCTTGAACAAGATTTTTATCAATAAAATGCTTAAAACTTAATTTTTTCAATTTTTTTCACTTAGGGGTAGTTTTTACCCCTATAAAACAAAAAGCGCCAATCGGGCTTATCACTTTTGAACTTGAGCCTAAGATGAGCCTTATTCTAAATTTTCATGCAAATCCATGCAGTTTCAAAGAATTCGGAGGTTACAGCTTTCAGCTTCAATGACTGTACTATTAGGTTATGCTACAGGTTGAGCCTGTTTTAAAATAACTCTCCACCTAGGTCATCCAGTTGCGGAAAATGTCAGCCTTTGCGCAGAAAAAATGCAGTTTTGTGCACCTTCCAACATATTTGCTTAATTCTAACTACTTCTTTGACTGGTTGAATTTGAAATTAAAATCAGAATTTCAGGATTAGTTCGTGTTTTGACACTAATATCTAGACACTCCTCTAGAAAGCGGTGTTTGAGATTTCAAACTAGCTTGAGTTGTCAGTGACCCCATAATCCTATAGTCCATAATATATCCGTAATCCCATACCCGGGATATGTGAGAGTGTAGAACCATGAATCTCTATGGGGATTTCATACATTGTTGATAATATCGAAAATTGCTTTCTAGAAGAGATTCTTATTGATATTTGGGTCAAAATGCGAACTGATTCGGGAATCCTGACTTTACATTCGGATTCAGTGGGTCAAAATATTATGGGATACACTGGTCTGGTTCCAATCCGATTTTCTTTGTGGCGCTGAGGAATTTAACTAAACCAAATCTAATCTGACCTAACTGAAATTTCCAATATTAGCTGTAAATATTTTACCACTAATAATCCACAATTAGTATTCTAATTAACTATTCTTATATAACTATCTTGTACCTACTTGGCAACATTGATATGTATTGAGAGATTTAGCTTTTCAAAAACAATATGAGGTATGAGTGAAGTTTGACATATTTATTAAGTAAGAAACTATTTATAGAAATGCATTTTATAGAAAGTATAGATTTTGGGCTCGCTAAATTTATGAGATTGTTAATTAAAATAATAAACTAGTTAAATTTGCATGAACCTTCCTATCAATTAATTTAATTCAAATTTCAAAAAATATTAAAAAACTAAAATAAGAGGTTTCATTTAAGAAATGCTATTTTCTGTGGTAGCGACTGAAAAATGATTAATAATTCGCAGAAAATAACATTCCTACTCGAGTCGAAATTATTTTTTCCTAGTTTTGTACCATTGGTCGCTTACGAAATATGTTTGTTTCTTGTTGTAAAATCCATTATTTTGCTAACAATTTATTTTATGTTAATATTTTGTTAAAAATTATATTTCTGCCTTTATTTCAAGATTTAGATAGGTAATTTTTGCATGATAATGATAATAATTTGACCTATAACTATTTCATTTTTTTACTTTGGTTCTGTAAATATCTAATAGGTACACTCTTTTTGTAGCAAAAAAATAAATTTTTAGTATTAACCTATCTTTAGGTGGTATTAAAAAATGTCAATGATAATAATTATTTTCCGGTGTCAATGAATTGACACGATTCAAATTAGTAGTGGCTTTTAAGCGTTTACTATTCTACAGATAAGGTTCCTTTGTGGGCAAGAGCAAATAAAATGATATACTTTTCGCTCCCTAAACTTTATTTTCGTTTTATAGCACAATAAAACTTCAACACTTTCACAAAGTTCTAAATGGTCCTGTGTACCTTGGAAGTGGCTCCTTTTCCCGTAAGAAAAGAAACATTCTATTAATCTTTATATACTGCGTAGAATTGCCGCTTTCAACTTAACGGTAATTAGGAAATCGATTCCGTTAACAGAACGAGCAAAAGAACTGAGACAATCCATGTCAAGAAAGTGAAAAATTGTTGTTTTTGAACTCATATGTTTGATAAGCGTAACCTATTATTGAAGGAATAATGAATGTCCCAAATTTAGTAAAGGTACTTAATCTTCGTTTTATAAAATATCAACGTTGTCAAAACATTTAGTTGAAGTTTAGGGATAATGTTTAATCGACTTTAATATACCTACAGGTAAGTATGGGTTACAATTTTTTATCAAATTGTAATTTTAACCGCCACATTTCTCGTTAAACATCATGTTAAAACTTTAGTATAAAAAGTATTACATTTTATTTTATTGGGCTGTTCGGTGGCCGAGCGGTTCGAGGAGTCAATACTTGAATCAATAAATGTCACTATTGCGGGTTCGATTCTCGTGGCCGTAAGACCATAGATCAGCTATATTCGTACAGAAGAATTAGACACCCTCTCTGTGGGTATGTAGGGTCGTTGGCTTGTGTCAATGTGAGAGATTGATACCGGTCGGCATTTGACCATCCTCCTAATTAATGAGGTTTTCCAGATTTCCCTCATTCCTGCACTGAATAGTTATGGCTGACCAATGTAAATCGTTCCGGGGCGCACATGCGGTCTACCGAATAATAATAATATGCTGCCCCTCTACCGCACAAGTTTCTGACTTCTGAGCTAATCCTTGCGATTATAATGAGGGGTAGAAATATTATATATATATATATTTATAACATATTAATTAATCGGATTTGATATTTAAATAAAATAGTATAGTTAGTTTCAAATAAGTACTTAATACTATTAGATAGCTAACTTAACACTCCATATTTAGTTAACTGTTCTACGATACAAAATATTGTATCGATTGAAATTGTAATCCGCTATAACTTGGAAATCAAGTTTATGAAATGAATCAGAAGTCTAATATCCATATTATGAATTTTTTTAACTTTGCTTTGGTTTTAATAATATCACCGTGTGCATTGGCCATAATATTTAATGGCACGCATTTTGATAACAAGTACCTAGTAATATGAACTTTTAGCAGATATTAGTTAGTCAGTACTTTATTAATTTTACTTGTAAATCCCAAAATTATTAAATATCTGCAATTTCTTTGTCAAAAAAGGTACCAGCTTTCAAGTTTTGCAGTAAGTTCATCTCTAATATTTTTCTTAGAGATAAAAAATTGAAATAACTAGTTTAAAAAAAACAGTGAATAAAAACGTAATAATTCCAAATCAAACCTATCATTGTGCATAATATATTTAGATAAATAAGCTTTTTTTGGGTTTATCAATAATTGGCTCAGTATTTGAACTCAGTTCTTAGAGAGCACTACATGTTTGTACTGCATTAGATAAGTTCAAATATTTCCTATATTCTATATTTCCTGCATTAAGATATTTCTATATTTATATATTTCTGATTTTCTATGTTTCTATATTGCTATATTGCTATATTTCTATACTTCTATACTT